AATATATGGAATGAAACTTTGAATATATTGAATGAAGTCTGAATATATGGAATGAAACTTGACTGATGACAGACTTCACCGCAGTGTCTGCGGCCATCTTGTGTAATGTGGATGCTATAGCTAAAAGTGAGTGACAATGAGTTAGTCCACTCACAATCTCGTTGCAGCAATATTAAACTATGAGGACATCAGTAACACACTGGCGAATGCGTGTACGGCCCAAAATCCCCCCGATACCCCCGTCCAATGCCATTCTTCTGACAAGGAAGTTCGCTCCCTTTTTAAACATGGCAGACCTACTACAACAGGCAGCTGTTTATCAGGCCAACCTCAGCATGTCTTCAACCTCACAGGACAGCCCCACAACACCCCGTGTACAATCTCCACCAGTACACAAGAAAGAGCCCAAGACACTGTATGGTTAGCTTGATATAGTTTCCAGGTGATTTAATGAAGGTAAAACACAGTGAATGGCCGCGCGTAATGGCACTGCGCTCTGATGCGGCACTTCTCCGGCACTGGTGAGTTTGCTCTGTTGTTGCAGGGAGCTCTCCTAGTAGACTTCTTTCTCTGTGGTTTCACAACTCCAGTAATTTTCTTTAACAGTGTAAGGGGATCACTTGATTCCAACATATTCCTTTTCATTTTTGGTGCCCGTTGTTGTGAACACATCTGCCCCGGACAATTTCCTACTTTATATAAGAAAGGAGGTAGAGTGGTAGAACTAACAGATTTTGGTTTGGTAGTTTACGGTCAGCCTCCAATGTGGCATTGGAACTGGCTGTCTTCCCATAGTTTTGGCCATTATGTCACAAAGATACAATCAAATGTTTTATTTAGTTCTATTTGACCCTCTTTCAATTATTTACTGGTATGATTACTTTTGCTGTCCCTGAAGGGAAATTTGTCTGAAAAGTCAAACAGGGTCAGTAGAAGGTCTGTGTCACTCAGCTATATAGGATAACCAAGACTGGAATTTACTAAGCATCTGTCTAATATCCATCACAATTTTCACAATCACAGTGTTTAGTGTTGTAGCTTCTACAGACATTAAATTCAGCTTGAGGACTGACCTACCTGTTTACCATGTCATGACAGACAGCTACATTCTGACAGGGATCACTGGCACACTCGTCAACATCAACCTCACAGTCGATGCCGTCAAACCCAGGCAGACATTCACATGAGTACATGCCGATCAGGTCACGGCAGGTGGCTCCATTGCGGCAGGGACTGGACTCACACTCGTCTATTTCAATGTCACAGTTGACTCCTGGTGAATGGAAAGTCAGGATGAGAAGAAAACACTTAGACAAAATAATGATGATGATGATGAAAAGCAATTCATACATTAACACTTATAAATCAATCAAAATCAACAGACCAACCACATTGAACCGCCAGTATGAAAAAGTTATGGCAATCCATTAATTACATCCTCCAAACTTAGTGAGCTTTGAATGTCAGGGCAATGTAGTAATGCTCTCTTGCTTAACTCAAGACTTCCGTGTAGACCTCCCTTAATTGTTGTGGACTAAAAGGAGCTGGTCATAACAGGATCGAGATGCACATGTGAATCAAGCTTTTCGCACATGAACGCACTAAAAAGCAGCTTTTGATGCTTCCTGACTGACAGTACTCTTCACCTGTCTTACTGCTCTCGTTCCAAACTAAAAATATCACTTTCCCCACCAAGAAAGTCAGCATTGTAAGTGTAGCCTATATATGAACATAATGTATGATGTGTAACAAAGGCATTCCTAATCACATGTGGTGATTTAACTGAACATATTTCTGTTCCTTCAATGTGCAGTAGGAGACGTGCGCATGTGTGTTAATTACTGTAAGCACTTGTTATGGGCCACTAATAGATTGATAGCATTGATACTTTTTTTTTATTCTGTTAAATGAATGAATGAATGAATGCTTGACACAGGCACATCTGTGCCCATCTGTGACACATCTGTGTCAGATGTGAGCAAAAATCGTATTGCTGCTACCTCAAGTTCTGTTATATTACAGCTCTTTTGTTTTGTATGCACTTTTTTAGGTGCCTGTGTCAGATGCAACCAAATTTAAAAGTCAAACAATGAATTAACATAGCTTGTTTTTCATTTGTGTTGGGTTAAAATGTGCTTATTGGCCACTGAAAATGTGGCCCAGTAAATTTTTTTGGTTTAAAAAATCTGGCCCAAGTGAATTTGTAATTGAATAGCCTTGACACATGGTGTAAGCATGTGTGTAAGTAAAAGTTAAAAACACACTTTCGCACTTATTTCTCATTTATGTATCATTTTTCGTATGTGTGGAGTGTTTACACAAACACACACACACACATAGGTTTTACTTTTGTTTGTGATTTTTCATTTTTCTTTTTGTCTTATTCTTTCAAGCAATACTGCCAAACCTGCCTGCCACCAAAAGAAATAGTTTTCTTTTTTTTATGATGATTTGGTAGCCACCAATGTAGGACCATCCAAGTTCCAATTATTGTATATATCATAACTAATAATTGTCCCGCCAAAGTTTCATGATGATACAATAGTTTTTACAGATCAAAGATCTTGCTTCTGTTGTGTGTTATGTTTTGCATGTTGGTATCTGTTATGTACCTGCAAAGCCTGCCAGACAATCACAGTTATAGTGGTCTTTCTCATTGATACACGTGGCATTGTTCTCACAGGGTCGTGAAGCACACTCGTTGATGTCTATTTCACACTTGTAGCCCTGAAAACCAGGCACGCAGAAGCAGTGGAACTCTGCAACCCCGTCTACACAAATGGCTCCATTATGACAAGGCTCTGATAAACACTCATTCACATCTTCCTCACAAGTGTTCCCCTTGAACCCTGGTGCACAATGGCATTCGAAGCCTTCTGCTTGTAACACACAAGTCCCATTGTTCCTGCAGGGTTCATCGATGCAGTCAGTTACACGTGTTTTGCAGACCTGTCCTCCCAACCCAGCAGGACATCTGCAGAAGTAACCATTCAACTGGTCTATACACATTGAACGGGGTTCAGAGCAGGGGCTGCTCTGACACTCATCCACCTCCTCTGTGCAGTTATCACCCATAAGTCCTTCTGGGCAGATGCAATTATAGTCTCTGGTCCCAGGGGTGCTGGAACAGACTTCACATGGTGCAAAGGAGCAGGCATCATAGAATTCATCACAGTTTTTGCCCATGTATTGGACCCCTTCTCTGGCACAGATACAGGCGTAGTCATCCACAGTGTCCACACAGGTAGCTCCATTCTGGCAGGGTGCAGACAAACATTTGTCTGATGTGGCTGTGCAGAGGATTCCTGAAACAGAAAGCAAATGTATTGTAAATTAAATCATTTTAAGAACATTTGCTATAAAGAATCATACTATCATCATGTATGGGCTGCAGCATAATTTTAGAAAATATGAATATTTTTGTGTGACCCACCCTCTGTACTTTTATCCTGTTAATAAAGTAATTACAGAAAACCCATATTTTTTTGAAAAACTCACCACTTTATATGTGACCATATGCTCTAATGAAGTGTTATACGGATAGATCAGTTACAAATTCTAAATTTAGGGGCAACTGGTCTGGGAAATTAGGAAGCTATCTAATTACAATGATAACCATAGTGAGCAGTACATGAATGGCACATTATTGTTTTTCTTAATATACAGCATCAAGAGTATTAGATTTAAAGTTAGTAATAAAAAAATCCTGTCAAAATGAAACCTGCACCTTCAACAAAAACAGTAAATATTGGACTTGAATAATGCATGTTACCAGCATTGACCAAGAATCAAAGCTATCATAACTTTAAAATAAATCCTGTCAGTACCAGTGTCTGAACTCTATGTGATATGCCTTAACATACAGACAAGTTTTAGTGTACCTAACTGTATTTGTATATCTATATATATTGCTGAGAACTTTATTAAGAACACTTGTGTGCATCTCATGCATGTGCTAATTCAATTCTGTGGTAGCAGGGAAATCCTGCAGATAAAGGTTATGAGCTTTGTCGGTTAATGTTCACATCAAACATCTTAATGAATAAATAATGTTGATCTCACAGTGGTGTGCTGTGAGGCCAAGCAAGGAAATCAATGTTGGAACTGGGCCTGGACTACAAAGCGAGTTAAACAAACCTCATCTCACTTCACTGAACCTAACATTGGCCACCCTGATAACCTATTCCAGGAAGCTGGTTGCCAACTAGCTCAGTTAACTAAATAAAGTCATAAATAAAGTTCAAATATGACATGATATAGCACGAACAAACATCCTTATAGGTTTAAAGAGGTTAAAGTTGTTTGTTGATGGTTTGATTCTCTGCTCCTCCAGTTTGCGTGTCGAAGTGTCACTGGGCATAACCCTGAAATCCAAAATGCCTCTGACGGCTGTGCTGTTAGTGAGTATAAGTGATAGAAAGAGTAAGGATGCATGTGTAAATGCCGAAAATATTAACATGTATTTAACCGTACATGACCTTCACCAATAATAATTCTAATAATGATATGAATAATGAATTAAAATGTTAGATTATCAACATTTTCGACATAAAAATAACTGCTGCTGGTCTGTCTGTCTGTCCATCCAACTTTCAGCAACAAACATCAACAACTAAAGGCCATATTGTTGTAACATTTACTGTGAATTTTGATCATCTTGGAAGTAAAAACAGTTCAGTCAGACAACTCACGTTCAACTGTTTATTGCAGCATTAGAACATAGTTTGTGTTTGGCGTAAGGCTCCGACTCAATCACTCCCAACTCTAAAAATGTATATCTTTGCTGTTATAAGGCAATGAGATAAAATGCTGCTGTGTTGTGTTTAGGCTTCTGAATGTCTCAGACGATGAAGCAAGTTCAACATACCCAGGAGATCATTCAGTTATACGGCTGAAATCAACAAAACAAACGCAGGCTAAATGGTCTCACAACACATCAACCTGATTAGTTTAACCAGGTTTTCCCACTCTAAATATGAGTGCATGCAAATAAAAGGGGCGGTGTTTACTGCGTATGACCAACCACCGACATGGACAAGTGAACTGACAGAAGAGCTTTCACTATGAGGAGCAACTGCTAAATGCAGGAAAGACAGCTGGTTAAAAATCTGATTGTCTAAATGTGTGAGTTACGGAGGCCCCTGGAGACATTTGGAAAAGAATATATTACGTGACCACGAAATAAAAATGCTTGGGAATTAAATAAATAACTCTGGGCCATGAGCTATGTATCTGTTCTTTACTAATGGGACCTGGTGAACTGAACTGAAGAAGCCTCTTGGATGAGAGAATAAATGTTTCACTTAAACACATGATGTAGCCTCTATAATGGGATTTAGTTTGACACACACTACACTGACTCTGAGGCCACATACTACTAATCAATTAAAACATATGGACCTACTTTCGTGCACCATGACTGTGTGCATTTAGAATCCTGGTGACAGGATGTGCCTGGTGCATCTGGAAACTCCATGGGATCCTCTAAGGACGGTGATGTCATGTTTCATAGGAATTGATTGGTCAGTGGATTGGTCAAGTTCTTTATAGCATTCAGGCTGTAATTTAAAACTGACAGTTTAGCTATGTTTTGTGGTTTAAAAGAGATATATAACTGAATATCATCTGTGTAGCAGCGATATGAAATACCTTTAAAGTGCCTTATTCTTTGTTCTAGGGAAAGCATATACAAGGCAAACAGGATAGGGCCAAGGACTGAACCTTGGGGCACACCACAAAACAGAGTTTCAGACTAGGAGAAAAAACTGCCAACAGATCCTGAAAAACTCCTATTAGAGAGGTAAGAGGAGAACCACTGCAGTGATACCCACCCACTGCTCAAGTCTCTTAACCAAGATATGGTGGTACACAGTATCAACAGCTTCAATGAGATCTAACAGAACCAACTCAGAACTTTCTGTTCTGTTGGATCTTAGTGCAGCATTTGACACCATAGATCATAGGATCTTGTTACAGAGAATAGAACAACATATAGGGATCAGAGGAACTGCACTAGGCTGGTTTAAATCATATTTATCAGATAGATTTCTATTTGTTAACGTCAACAATGACCCCTCCATGCACATGCAAGTTAGTCATGGAGTTCCACAAGGTTCTGTCCTTGGACAGATACTCTTCACCTTATATATGCTCCCCTTAGGCAACATCATGAGAAAGCACCCATACACTACCATTGTTACGCAGATGACATCCAGCTGTACATTTCTATGAAGCATGATGAGTCTAATCACTTAGTTCAACTTCAGGAATGTCTCAAGAACATCAAGGCCTGGATGACCCAAAACTTCTTACTTGTAAATTCAGACAGAACTGAGGTCGTTGTAATTGGCCCTAAGCATCTTAGAGAATCACTGTCTGAACAGATAGTCACCTTGGATGGTGTCAGTTTGGCCTCCAGCTCAACTGTGAGGAACCTTGGAGTTATGTTTGACCAGGACATGTCATTTGACCCACATATAAAACAAATCTCCAGGACAGCTTTCTTCCAACTGCGCAATATTAACAAAATTAGAAACATCCTGTCTCAGAAGGATGCTGAAAAAAAATCCACGCATTCGTTACCTCTAGACTAGATTACTGTAATTCCTTATTATCAGGATGCCCCAGGAAATCGGTAAAAAAGTCTCCAGTTGGTCCAAAATGGCGCAGCACGAGTGCTGACAGGAACTAGAAGGAGAGATCATATGACTCCTGTCTTAGCTTCTCTACATTGGCTCCCTGTAAAATTCAGAATAGATTCAAAATCCTGCTCCTCACATTTAAAGCCCTCAACAATCAAGCCCCTTCATATATCAAAGACCTGACAACACTGTATTATCCAAATAGATCACTTCGTTCAGAAAACACAGGCTCTCTTGTGGTTCCAAGAGTCTGTAAGATTAGAACAGGAGGTAGAGCATTCAGCTACGAGGCTCCTATCCTGTGGAACCAGCTCCCACTCTGGGTTCGGGAGGCAAACACCAGCTCAGCATTTAAAGTTCAATTATATTGTGTTCATCGATTGCAGTTATGAGCTGCTTAGCTACCACTTTCTCCTAAAAAGTTAAAGAAAGGGCAGTTTGGAGATAGGCCTGTAATTTGGGGGTACAGAGGAATCAGTATTAGTTTTTTAGAGGTTGAATAACAGCCCATTTGAATTGAGCAGGGACTTAACCAGATAATAAAGAGCAGTTAATTATGGAGAGGACAGCAGGACCAATTGAGCCAATGATATTTTTAAACTGAGATGCTGGTAAGATATCAAGGGGGACAGGAGTAGATTTTCATTCGTTTGACCAAATTAGTGAGATCTTGGAGTGTTATAGGAGAAAAACTGTCCAGGATTGTAGAGAAAGTGAGGGGACAATGTTCAATCTAATGTTATTTATCTTGCCCACAAAGAAAGTGAGAAATTTGTTACAGTCCTCACTTGAAAAAATCGGGACAGCAGACATTGCAAGAGTAACAATATTACAATATCCTCCTGGACTTTAAACAAGGTTCATAACCAAAGGTGATCACGCCTTTGCCTGCCCTAAACTTAGGGAATAACTTACCACTCCACATTAGATCTGCCCCCCTCTCTAGCACACTTCAAATCATTACTAAAAACACATCTGTTCTCCTTGGCTTTCTCCTCGAGTTGGTTTTTATCCCAGCTGATCTTGTTTTATTTTATTGTATATCTCATATTTTACTTTATTTAAATGTTTTATTATTCTACTTTCTATCTTATTCTATTTTTACTCTGATGTATTGTGTGTTACGGTGCTCTTGTTGTACCTTGTACTTGTGAAGCACTTTGGTCAACCAAGTTGTTTTAAATGTGCTATATAAATAAAATTGACGTTGATTTTGACTAATGGTGTCAAATCAAATTTTGTGATTACACCAACTATCACAAGATCAGAAAAGTATGTTGCTCTAGCATCCTTCACTGCTTTATTGAAGGACATTGAAAGTTATTTGAAGTAAAGATAGTGGATGTGTAGTCTGCTGGCTTTCCATAGGCATTCCACGCTCCTAAAGTCTCTCTTAAGAGAGCGGATATTGCTACTTATCCAAGGGTCAGACTTGATCAAAGGAGAAGGCCTAGCTTTAGAAGGAGCAATTTTATCCAATGTTGCAGAGCACTGTTCATTGAAAGATTGCACCAAATATTCAACATCACTGTGCATATCAGAGTTAAAATGAAAAGTGTCAGAAAACTTTTCATCAGAAAAGGGGTTAGTTTGCAGCTCCACTCCAGTCCTTGGTCTAGTAGTTCATCGCACACCCAAACCAAATGTTAATTTTGCCCCCAAATTCTCTGCACTATTATCTTTCTTTGTTTTAAACTATGATAGAGCTATCATTGTTGGTGATTTTAACATCCACATTTATGACCCAAGCAATGGTTTTGCAACTGAATTTTTAAAGATCACAGAGTCTTTTCAAACTAGTCCAACATGTGACTAGTCCAACTCATAACCGTGGCCACACATTAGATCTAGTCTTTACCCTTGATCTGAGCATCAATTCTTAGACCTTAGAGTATGTATTTGTCTCTGACCATCTCTGTGTTAAGTTTGACTCCCTATTCCCATTGCCCAAAAACAACATTTAAAACCACTAAAAGCTCACCTGTGTGTATTGCACATGTGCTCGTCTTCAAGCCCTCTCGGCGTCCTACCCACATCACTCCTAAAAAAAGTAATCAATACTATTGGCCCGAGCCTTCTTAGAATTATTAAATGCTCCCTTTCTTCTGGCCAAGTCCCTGATTATTTCAAGAAAGACAACATTCCGCCTTTATTAAAAAAGCCAAATCTTGACAAAGCACTCCCACAAAATTACAGGCCTTTTTCAAAACCTCCTTTCATATCCAAAATCCTCGAAAAGGTGGTTAAGAAGATAAAACTGCAATAATTATCTTCGGTCCCGACCAGCTAGCAGGTAGACCCCTATCATTTCTCAGTCCCCTGGCAGCCAATATTAAAACAACAGCTAAAAATCTAGGCGTCACATTCGATCCCCATCTAAACTTCAAAACACATGTTAATCACATCATTAAATATTGCTACTTCCATCTACGAAACATTGCTAAAATCAAATCGGTTCTATCTCTCTCTGATTTAGAAAAGCTAATACATGCCTTTTTTTTCTCTTGCCTGGATTATTGCAACGCCCTGTATACATGCCTCAGCTAAACCATGGTTACTGGTTTGCAGCTTGTTCAGAACACTGCTGCTCGTATTTTAACAAATACAAATTGTAGGGTTCACATTACACCAATTCTTGCATCAATTTATTGGTTACTAGTTAACTACAGGATTGATTTTAAGATTCTTTTAATAACTTTTAAAGCCCAACATGGGCTGACCCCAACCTACATTTCGCAGCTCTTGACTCCTATACTCCCAGTCGTAACCTGAGATAGGCAAGCCTATCCCTGTTGGTTGTCCCTAGGTCAAGGCTGGCTACTCAAGGTGACCTGGCTTTTTCTGTCAGGGCCCCAAGGCTCTGGAGATTAGGCTCACAAACTCACTACCAATCTTTAAATCACTGCCCAAAAAATATTTTTACAGGAAAGCATTTCTAACACGCGACTTGTTATTACTTTCATTACGATAATCAGACTTATAGAGTTCATGTATGATGTTCCCGAGCTCTCTCTCCCCTCTCCTGACCCCACCACCTCATTTCACTCTCTCTATTCTACTCCCTCATTGCCACCCACCTCCTCTCTTCCCCATTTTTCTCTGCTCACCCCAACCGGTCGAGGCAGGTGGCCGCCCACTCACTGTTGGGTTTCTCTATAAATTGAAGATCTTGACCTTATTATTACCTACTTTTAAATCTGCTTACTGCTTAAAATGCATTTTTAACATGAGATTTGTAACTCTGGTACTACTGTGTTGTTTTTAAGTCCTTTATTCCTCTAATCATTTTTATTGCAACCATTTTATGTAGTTTTTTAATATGACAGCTTCTGACTGCTGCCTGTGAGAGTAGGTATTTAGTTTACTTAAAAAATAAATAGATAAATAAATAAAATAAAAGAGTTAATCACATCCGATCTACTGAGCGGTCCACATGGCTTTGATAGCACTGCCATACAAGCCAGTAGCCAGTCAGATTTACCTTTAGCCTCTTCAAACATTATTGTGATTAATAGGCTGAGAAACTTGCTCAGAATCAGAATCAGAATCGCTTTTATTACCAGGTATGTGAACACACACGAGGAATTTGTCTCCGGTTTTCCTTTGTTCTCTTAGTACAACGGTTAAAAAACATCAAACTAACATAGAGATGAACAAGGACAAAAGACAATAACAAAAGCTATGTACATGTACAAAAAAGCAAAATAGTTGGTGCAAACGGTGCATAGTGCAAGGATGAAATTATAAATATATATATACAGTTTGTACAGTATATTGTATGTACAGATATATTACAGGTGATGTTTCTGATATTTGAGTCCGGTTTTAGCTGTTTGACACAGAGACAGCCTGAGGGGAAAAGCTGTTCTTAAAACGGGATGTTTTGGCGTATAGTGTTCTGTAGCGTCTACCGGAGGGGAGAAGTTTAAATAGTTTGTATCCAGGGTGTGATGGGTCTGCAGAGATGTTACCTGCCCGTTTCCTTACTCTGGTCAGGTACAGGTCCTGGATGGAGGGCAGGCTGACACCAACAATTTTCTCTGGAGTCCTTATTGTCCGTTGCATTCTGTATTGTGGCCGATCCAAACCAAACAGTGATTGAGGAGCCAAGAACAGACTGAATGATGGCAGAGTAGAATTGTGACAGCAGCTCCTCAGGTAGGTTGAACTTCCTGAGCTGGTGCAGGAAGTACAACCTCTGCTGGGCCTTTTTGATTATGGTGACTGTGTTGGTCTCCCACTTCAGGTCCCGGGAGATTGTGGAGCCCAGAAACTTGAAGTTTTCAACAGCAGTCACAGAGTTGCTAAAGTCCACTGTCATCTCCACAGTTTTGAGTGTCTTCAGCTCCAGATTGTTCTGACCACACCAGCAGACCAGCCGCCTGTAAGCAGACTTGTCACCATCCTGGATGAGGCCGATGATCGTTGTGTCGTCTGCAAATTTCAGGAGTTTAATAGACGGGTCTTTAGAGGTACAGTCGTTGGTGTAAAGGGAGAAGAGCAGTGGGGAGAGCACACAACCCTGGGGGGCGCCAGTGCTGATAGTCCGGGTGCTGGATGTGATGCTCCATAACCTCACCTGCTGCTTCCTGTCAGTCAGGAAGTTTGTAATCCACTGACACGTGGAGGAGGGCACAGTGAGCTGGGTGAGCTTGGTGTGGAGGATGTCTGGAACAATGGTATTGAACGCCGAACTGAAGTACACAAACAGGATCCTGGCGTACGTCCCTGCAGAGTCGAGGTGTTGCAGGATGTAGTGCAGTTCCATGTTGACAGCATCATCCGCCGACCTGTTTGCCCGGTAGGCAAACTGCAGGGGGTCCAGCAGGGGGTCTATAATGTCCTTCAGGTGCAACAATACCAGTCTCTCGAAGGACTTCATGACTACAGACGTGAGGGCGACAGGCCTGAAGTCATTTAGTCCTGTGATATTGGGTTTCTTGGGGACCGGGATAATTGTGGAGAGTTTGAAGCATGAAGCATGAAAACAGTGTAACAATGGTCCAGAGTGTTTGTGTCCCTGGTGGGACACTTTATGTGCTGTTTATATTTTTGCAGTTCATGGCTGAGCTCTGCTCTGTTAAAATCCCCCAAAACAATGAGCAGAGAGTCTGGGTGTTTTTTCTCTACGTTGTTTATCTGGTCGGCCAGTTGTTGTAATGCCTCAGCTACACAGGCCTGAGGAGGGATGTAGACTCCGACCAGAATAAACGAGGAAAACTCCTGCGGTAAATAAAACGGTTTACAGTTTATGAATAATGTCTCCAGGTGAGGACTGCATGATTTGATTATAACCGTGACATCAGTACACCAACCTTCGTTAACGTAAAAACAGATTCCGCCTCCCCTCGTTTTCCCTGTGAGCTCTGTTACGCGGTCCGCTCTGTGTTGTGTGTGTTGAGGAGTAGCAGTTCATCCATCTTGTTGGCCAGAGAGCGGACATTAGTCAGGTGAATAGACGGGAGCGCATTGCTAGGCCCCCGCTGCCTCAGTCTGACGAGCGCACCGGCTTGCTTCCTCCGGTGCCCTCGTCCTCGGCAGAGTCCATAGAGAGCTGCTGCTCCTCCAATAAGTAGCTCTGGAAAACTTTCCGGATCGATGAATGCAGATGAAAAAACTTTACTGGTGGTTGTTCCTGTTTATGAGTTCTGGAGTATGCGGCCAGAGAAGAAGCACAAAAGACACAACAAATACACAAAAACGTAAAAAGTACTAGAGAGCAAAGTACTGAGGCAGCCGTCCGTGGTGCCATCTTGAGGGAAGGGATGACACCAAGGTACAATTAAAGATATTATTTTCAATTACAACATCAGTCCAAACATTTTTAACTGAATCGAATATATTTTGTTATAATTTATTCTTCTTCTCGCCATGGACTTTGTTTTTGTGAATCATTGTGAATCATGTGGATCATTTTTCAAAAGGTGTGCACTTTATACCCCTCCCCAAGCTCCCCGCAGCCCTGGAAACCGCCACGCTCCTAACCAAGCATGTTCTATAGCTACATGATCTACCACTGGACATTGTGTCAGACCTAGGGCCCCAGTTCACGTCCCAGGTTTGGAAGGCATTTTGCCAAGCGCTAGGGGAGCATTATCATCTGTGAGCTAATGCTAATCATGGAGCTCCCACTTGGCCTGGGTGGAATACGCACATAACTCCCTCACCAGATCTGCAACAGGCATGAAATCGTTGACTGTTTTATATGGTTTCCAACCCCCCTTGTTTCCTTCCCAGGAGGAGGACATTTCCGTCCCCTCCTTTCAGTCCCACCTGTGCCGCTGCCGTAGGATCTGGGGGAGGCCCAGGCAGCATAATTTCACACAGATGCACACACATTTTACTTTCATACTTTGTTTATATAACTGGCGTTGTCGGATAAAAATTCTAACTCCCTCTTCTTTTAGACAGTGCCGACTAAACACTGGAGCCCCTGCAAGACCACAGCTCAATCACTGGTCAAACTACTCCACAACAAGTCACAAAAACTCAATAAACAATAAATAACGACTTGATAGAAAAATGTGCAAATATGCAACGTGCAAAATTTTCTGTTCAAATCCTGCTAATAAACTGCCAATACTGTTTTCAAAGTGTAAACTGGTATTTATGTGCAAAGTTAAACTATTTATTAAAAGTGCAATAAATACAAAACTCTGATTGTGCTATATTTACAAGGCATGGCCACACCACGCCCATGAATGGCGCACACATCGCAGTATATTCTCCTGCAAGCCAATGCGCCTACAGACAATTGCCACATTGCAGCAGAGAATTATGCACACATAGCAGTCTCACTAGGTACTATATTCTCTTGCAGGCCAATGTGCCTATGGAGAATGGCCACGCCTGCAAGCTAGTTCAAGCAGCCAACTCAAGCTGCACTGCTTCAATCATGTGACATATTTGTATATCATGTGACCTCACTCTCCCAAATCATCTATAATAAACACCCACCTTATAAGGCAGTCTATTTAAGCAGAGAAAATCACTTCCTTTGCTTGAAACACTGCTTCAGCCCCTCCACCACCCCAGCATTAACCTATAGGCTCCTACGGTGGGTTTCCAAGTATTTGCTCATCACTCCCATCATATCTATGTAATCATATCTGCGGGAGTGATTAAGTCTGAGCCTAGACGCCAAAGACTAACCTGTTCTTTTGCAATTAACGTTTGAATGTGAGTTGTCAGACTGAATTAAAGAAATGTGCATGATCGTCCATGAATAAGCCATTAACTATGCTTTAAGGGCCATTCTGTCAGTCTACACAATGGATGTGACCACTTTTAAAGGAGGTGGGGTAGTTTGGTGAAGATTCACAATAACAGCCAATACTAGAGGTTTCTGTGGAAACAGTCTGCATTCCTTTTATTAGGCCAATCTCAATACCCTGTGCCAAACACCCCCATCCACCACTCTGAGCCTCCCAACCCCCAACACTTTGATCAATCTCCTATTTCTAAACTCACACTGAAGGGAAAGCTATTTACGGCAAACAGTGTTATGAGGGAGAAAGGGGCAGCAAGAGAAAGAATATAACAGTAAATAGTGAGGAAGACTGTTGTTCTTATCTTTTGTTGTAAATACTGGTCATCAGTGGCCATTTCCCAAGAACAAGAGACGTGTGTGTAGAGACACTGATTTGAACCTTTTTTAATTACAACAACAACAGATAATTGGCATTAAAGGAACTGCCCTAAACTGGTTTAGATCAACAATACAAGAAAGTTATCGAAACCTTTTTCCCACATTAGTTGATAGCTTTGTTAATAGTACAGCAGCCTCTTTAAAAACAACCCTTGACGCTGTCATGAGCTTCTTTACAAATTAAAATTAAAATTATAATCAGGGATAAAATCCACCACCTCCTCCAAATGAATAGCACAGATACATTGTCTGGTCCTGACACCATAGCACCAGATTTATGTTTGAACCATTTTTCTTCTATTGATCTTCCTGAACTGACCTTATTCGTTATATCATCTAAAAACCCACAACTTGTCTATTAGACTCTGTCCCAACTAGACTTTTAAAGGAAGTTTTCTCCCTAATGGACAGTTCCATATTAAATCTGATTAATATGTCTTTGTAGCTTTTAAGGTAGCTGTTATTAAAAAGCCTATGCTTGATCTAGAGGATTTAGCTAATTACAGACCCATATCAAACCTGTCCTTCATTTCCAAAATCCTAGAAAACGTTGGTGCTAACCAGCTGTGTGATTACTAAGATAGTAACGGTGTACTGGAAAAATTTCAGTCAGGATTTTTATGGCATCATATGATGGACTTGTCTCTGTACTTGTCCTGTTAGATCTTAGAGCAGCATTTGACACCATAGATCATAAGATTCTGCTACAGAGACTAGAACAACATGTAGGGATTAAAGGAACAGCACTAGACTGAGAGACAGCTTCATCCTCCAAGCCATCAGAATGCTGAACTCCCTCCCAGCACCCCCCCCCCTTCCTTCTCTGACCTCTGCCCCCACAAACACAGAACACTGACACCACACCTACCACCATGCACAAACCAAAGGGCACCAGCCACTTTTATAAACTCAAAAAACAAAAACAAATATATATAAACTCTGCAAACCAATTGCACTGTGTACAGTCAACTGCTGTACACCAACTATTTACAACACTGTTTGCACTGTATACATCTTATTTTTTTCTCTTAATCCTGTTTTTATCTGCCATATTTATATTTATACTAGGGCTGTTAATCGATTAAAAAAATTAATCAAGTTAATCACGTCAATAGGCTGTGATTAATCATGATTAATCACACAATTAAAATACTACTATTTACAATTACGGTGTTTGAATAAAGAAATGTATGACAAAGTGGTTAGGGCTTTTTAAAACTAAAACTTTTATTTTACATCTCAGCCAATTAGAATATCTTAATTCACAGAGCAACAAAAACCATACAATGCAATCAGTTTTTTTTTAACCTGCTCATCACGGGCACCTGTGTGCCACTGTAGTAAACACGCCTCTGAAATTGGGCTCTACTCTATGACTGCATAGAGGTTTGACTGATTAAAGGGCCTCATCATTAGAATGAATACAAAGTCTCATGGAGTGCTTTGCATTGCCAACAACATCCATAACGAGCTGCTTAAATAGAAGACAAGCATATGAGAAACTGTTATCTTCTGCTACAATATAAACAGCTTGTCTGTAAACTTTGAGGTAACATTTCACCCAAATAAAGTCAACATTACATTGAGTGGGCTGAAAGCTGAATTATAAAGTGAATGTCACAAGTGTCTTAAAAGAAACAAAGTGAACAGTCCTTTTTACACACTTATTTCAATAACAATAAATGTGTGCAAAGATGTTGTGTGACATAACTTCAGTCAACCAATTCATCGTTTACTTTTCTTTTAACCAGTTACTCAGGCAAACTAGCTTGTTGACATTTTCAGATGACAAAGCTGACCTCTTCTTCTGTACAATGTGGCCTGCCAAAGAAAATAGTCTCTCACATGGCACTGTTGAGGCAGGTGTGGCCAAGTACTTTTGTGCAAGATGTGCCAGCCTACCATGGGCACCAGTGTGCGCTGACCACCACTGAAGTGGACATGTGTCTATGCTGACACTGGGCTCTGCCCTATACCTGTCCAGAGTTTTGTCATTAAAATCTGCATCCTCCTCAGACTCTGACTCTGACCCCAACAGTAGGAGAGCCACTTTCTTCTTTGGTGGTTCTGGTTCCATTTCATCGCTGCAGGACTGTGATTCAGTTTCTCTGTCCTTCAGCATCTGACTCAGCTTTTGCCACACCTCTTCCCTCTCTGCTTTGGGCAGGCACCTGAGGTCCTTGAATCTGGGATCTAGAGCTGTTGCTAGCTTTAACCATGACAGGTTTGTGTTC